CGACTGTGGGCATGCCACGGTGCGGTGTGCCGCCTCACATTCGGGTACCACAGTACCATACCAGAGGCAAAAGAATGGGTCCACCCAAATTCTGGCCAAAGGATGACGAGAGACGAGTTCATGCAGATTATCGGATATGACCCGCTCAAGGGCAAAAATCCTGACAAGGATGGACCCACTGATGGCTCTTACCTCTCACCAGAGGCGTGTCTGACATTGTCGACCCTCGACCCCTCGCCGATTCTCTGTGAATGGAACGGCCATGTCGAGGGTGATGAGCCACCAGAGGAAGACTTTGAGACATACGCAGAGATCTTCTCACAAGAAGCATCTAACGATCTTGACGAGATGTGGTGTACAAAAGGGCCTTACAAGGTCATCACCATCGCGATCGTCCATTTCAACTCGTTCATGACTCATAAGGAAGAACAGAGACGCGAACTGGTGAACGCGTTCCTCAACGAGATTCTCCCTTTTAAACCGGATGTGATAGCGGGAGATCTCAATAATATTGCGTCGAGGCTCACCTTAAAAGGTGGAGACGTTCACCCGCGAAACAGTTTGTTTTCTCTATACCTGGAGAAGAAACTTGCAGCATTCAACAGAATAGCAGGAAGGCACTCACAAGTGCGACATCTTTGCTTGAACAACTCCGACCAGCACAGACTGGCACGTGCAGATCGTCTACCGGCGGACCCGGCGAAGAAAGTTGCTGACCTTGACTGTATCAACAGTTATATCCTTGACTGGAGTAAAACGCCGCACACGGCGTCACCTAGTCCAAGAGAGGTCACACCTGCCGCTGAAAGAACATACTGGGAACGAATCTCAGATATGTGGCAGGACACGAACAACAACAGGGATATTGATATCCGTCTGTTTGTTTCAGTCAAGCAGTACTATTCAACTTTTTCTAACCTTGACCTATGGTTGGGTCCCACTGACAAAGATTGGCACAGCCCATTGGGCTTCACGATACAACCAATCCTTACAAAAGGGAAACACAACCGGTCAGATGCCCAGGTCCAGAAGATCGCTGACAAGCGAAAGGCTTACAAGCAGCGTAATGCTGAATACTGGGGTTACAACGATTCATTCGTTTACTCATCCGGCAACAGCTGGTACGACAAATCGCAACCATCAGGTAGCCATCACAGATATGGAAGATTCTGGGAGTGGCCACAGCCTGAACGTCCCAGCGAGCCTGAAGGTCCTCCTCCAAGAAGGAACCAGGAATCATCGTCCTCTTCACAACAAGATCTACCAAGATCAAGGTCCAGGCCTCAAAGAACCAATATTGTTGACAAGCTCAACATGTCTTTGGAAGAGCTGGATGGACTAGAAGAAGAACCGTCACCAACAAAAAGTGACATCGAAGAACACGAAAGAGAAACATCAAACTTGATGTCTGCTCAGAGAGATGAAGAGGAACAAGAGGACGAATCCTCCAGTCGGAGAAGAAGAAGGAAGGCATCGCGTCCACCGTCTGCTCCGAGCGGCAAGGCACTCAGAACAGCTGCTACAGCAGCGGGGTTGTCGGGCTGGTTCGGACACCGCAACCGAGGTGGAGCAAACGCAGAGTCTACCAAGACTGATGAAACTTCACTTCCAGACTCACTAACCAGTGAGCAAGACTTCTCCGTCTTCAGCATCACGTGGAATGTGTTCCTGCTGCTAATGGGCTTACACTGGATGTGGAAGCAGATTACCAGGCCTCCTATCAGATGTATGGAGCGCCAACAACCAAAATCAAGAGCAGCAGCGAACCAAAGAGTTCCATTCCTCGAACCCGAGGATGAACCGCAGACGCGTGAACCTTTAGGACCCAACAGGGTCAATTCCGGAGAAACAACTGATCTGCGACCTATCTGGCATACTTCCCGAAGCGAAGTCTACCATCTCTCAGACAGCTGTTACCAGCTTAAGCAAGCAAGAGATGTTTGCAAGAAGGTGCTGTGCAAAAACTGCCTCCATGCAGTACAAGTTGCGGAGATTCGCAGGAATGATCCTTTCCAAAGAGGTGATACACGACCACGTGGCACCGAAAGAGACATTGAGCGCTTCCAGACCTACGATGATGCAAGTAACACTCCTCACATGACACAATTATTCCAGGATGCCTTGCATGCACAAATGGCCGAGGAAGCCATGCAGATTACCTACACATCGATCCCTAAGGGATCCTCGGCAAAGGCCAGAGGTACATCTGCACTCCCAAGTGCCGCATCGTCATCAGCGCCCAAGGCAATGCCACCAGGGCCTAACAAGGCTAACATGTCACCTCCACCTAAGAGTCCTCCGCCGAAGGCGAAAGGAACAGTACCTTCTGATCCTCCAAGACCAAAAGGTCCTACCAGAAGAGGAGGTCAAAATCGGCGTATTCAACGAAAGGCAGCAAGAGAAGCCCACAACAGTGGACTCTGCACCTATGCAGACGCTGCACTTGACCAAGCCAATCAAGGCCAGGCAATCAACGTTACGTGCCGAAACATAGTATCAAGACACGTCAGCTCTATCGATGCAACGGTAGAAGCAGCCGGCCAGTTTACACAACGCGTGCTACAGCACGTAGAAACATATGATGAAGAGGAACCGTGGAGCACGGAGTTCCTACCGATCGTGGAAGTCCTATTCAGGAACTTAAGCGGCGACGAAACAACTGTCATACATGACAATCAAACGGTAACTATGCCTCTTGCGAAATACACAGACCTCCTCAGAATCGCACAAGCATTGCGAGGCTCTATCCAGAGAGACAAGGAGGAAAGAAAGGAACATCTTGACACCATCCAAGATACTCTATCCAGAGTGGAAATCCTTCTCACAGCACTGAAGGACTCAAGGACAGTCTTTAATCAATTGGTCCATTCCTCACTAGAGATAGAGCGAAGAAATAACAATCTCAAAAATGTCCTCGAGACACTCTTTGATGACCAAAGCTCTGAGGAAGACCAATCAGAATCTGACAATGAAGAAGTCCTAACTCCTTCTGCACCACAGTACTGGAATAGCCTTTATGCCCACGCCTTATCTCCTTCAGGAGATGAAAGTGAAAGATCATGGGCGTCCTCAGACGGACAGCTTGAAAGAAGAAGGGCTGAACGGGCAAGGGCTAAGCAGCCGCAACCGGCAAAAGCCAAGGCAACTCCAGTCAGCTCACAAGCTGCTCCAAAGGCCGAGCCAAAGGCGACAACATCCAACCATGGATATGATACTGCAGATGCCGCCTTCACCAGGGCTGAGAATAGATTACTCGGAATCTTTTCAAGTTCCGAAGAAGACCACTCAGACCCGGATGAGCCACATCCGAACGTTTACGCTCGAGCCTATGATCCAAACCTGGATCCGAATCTGAGATAAGAAAATTCTCAGAGTTTCACAACAGTGAATCACAAGGCTCTAACAAGAGCACAATGAGTGGCTGCATAATTCGGTAGTAGAACATCACCAGACCTGATCTTGTACAGATGATCTCTCTGACAAATATGCATGAGTGTGTGCGCAAAAGGAGTGGAGTTTCCTCAGCAGTGTACTTCAGTGCTATACCTAGCATAAATAATATGCTGTTTTTATAATGAGTCCAAAACTCCGCAACTGTGACAGTGGGCATAACAGTATATGTGTGAATGTGCGGCCATGCTTTCGGTAAAAGAAAATTAGTGTCTGTTTGAAACCATAAACCTCTAAAGGGGTAGCTCTAACAGGTACCTACAGCAATGGCTGCATGCTCATACATATACATTCCGCTGCCCATTGGCTCACAGTGGTTTTACCATATTGAGACAAGACAAGCTCTCCTTGCGTAGCAAGACAAAACAACTACTGTCCGTGTGCAGGGCGCTGCCCTTTGATCCTTAGGGAATAAACTGGTCATACACCTCCTCACAAGGAGTATCCCTTGGGGGTGTATCGGCACACCCTCCCCCCTCCCCTCCTCCCCTCCCCGCCTCCCCCCCTCCCCACGGTTTAGGGTTTAGGGTTTAGGCAGCAGTTCGGATAATTACTATGTGGGAGTTTCCGCAAATTGGTGTCGACCTTATTCTGGGATCCTGCTGATGGGGATCCTACTATTTACGGTACTATATTGGGGTCCCCCATTTTCGGAAACTGCCATAACTTTTCTGGGCACCTGGTTCTCAAGGCTTCGGGGCTGAGTAGGTAACCTTTTGGGGCTCTTCTGATCCTACATGATCCTACCACAATTAAAAGGTTAACCTTTTATGGGATAAGATACCCAGCCACTGAGAAGATGTTCCTGAAACCCTAACCCTAAACGGTTCTAAAGGTGTTGAACATAGGGTTTCAGGACGGTTTAGTTTTCGGGTTTAGGTCCTGCGGTCAGGCTTTGTTTGCACTTCCCATCTTGGCGTCTCCTTCTAGAACTAAACCTACGGGCCTCGCGGACACCAAACGACTTTGCCTGTACAAGTGCATTCGGCTTCTGGTCTCGCCCACGGGGTCGGCGGCTTGAGCCGGAGGCTCTTAAATCGGGCAGCGCTTCGCTGCCCTGTATGGACTGAGCTATGGCTCAGACGAATGGGCTTGTCTTGCGAAGCAAAAGCCATGACGGGTTGTGCCGCCGACCCGCCGCCGACCCAGCATCATCGGACCTTCGTTTCTCCGTCGGAACGCGCGCGTTTTGCAGCCATTCCCCACGGTATGGCTCGGCGGAGGGCGAGTGCCGGCTGCCGACGAGGGCTGAGAGGGCAAGGGGAGGGGAAAACACAAGGGCGGGTGCGTGGCCCAGCTTCAGGCTTCTACCTGCGCTGCCCGCACCTGGGCGCAGCCCCTAGAATATGCCTGGCTATCTGTACACAGATCTCATGAGCCCACGGCACTAGTTGCATCTGCGCACTCCAGAACAGTTTTGCTCCTTGATAAGCAAAGTAAGACGCTGGCAGGCACGATTAAGATTGGCTGCAGTCTGCACCAGATCGAAGATGTGGGTGCCCTTGGCAAGAATCCAGCAACTGGAGGCTGCACGGGCTGCGGTGCACGAACTACCTGTGATGACGCACGGGAGATTGTACAACACAACCATGCAGAGGCACTACAAGGAGAACAATCGAGCTTCGTATTCTAGCATCTGGCAAATGCTCATGTGGCACAGTTACACCGCTGACTTTATCTGCACTTCCTGAGGCGAACATCCATGTTCGACTCATCCCTGTGAATCTCAACACTAGATCTTGGCACTGGACATCGTTATCGGCATAGAGATACTTCAGCATCGCCGGATTCCACCTCAGTTGAAGCCGATCCGAGCCAGCTACACCTACTGAAGCTCCAAACTTCGGAGAAAGGCATACGAAGCCAAGTAAACCATGAAGCAAAACTGGAGCACACGACAACATGCAGCGCTGGGGAGGTGACTTGTTCGACTTGTGGCCGTACTGGACTCCTCCAAAATGACATCGCGTGGATTCCATTGCAATCGCTAGTGGGTCATCCCCAAGCAGCGCACTACTCCAGAATCTCGTGTACCCTGATTGCAATACCTAAAAACTGCCCAACACGAGCCTGCTTCTACAAGCTCTTGCATGGTGGCGACTCTCGGGGCATTCTCCGGCCTGGCTGGGTCTCGGAGGAAAACCGAGACTGGAGACTTCCTCTGGGCTTCTGACATCTCCCAGTTTCCCAGCGCCAGCTTCTTGAACTTCGCCGGCTCCAAGAACCTGCACACTGGTACAAACCTTTTCAACTGAAGGAGTTCTCCCTGCACAAGCCACGCAACAATTGTTGAAACATGAATACAAGCTCTCTTGCCGGGTAAAGAATTTCTTTGGTGGCCGCGGGCGACCATGCGGGCTGCCGGCCGCGGCCCTAAACCCCAAAAGCGGTGGGTGGGTGCGAAACCCGGAACCTTTTTTTAAAAGAGTGAATGGCGGCGAAACCCCAAACCCGTGCGAAACCCTGAAGCCTAATTGGCTGCGAAACCCAAAACCCCAAAAGGAGTGCATGGGTGGGTGCGAAACCCTGAACCCCAAAGGGGTCAAGTGGCTACGAAACCCTCAGACCCTAACAGGAGTGGGTGCGTGCGAAACTCTGAACCCCGAAAGGAGTAGGTGAGTGCAAAACCTTGAACGATAAAAGGAATGGGTGGGTGCTGCAAAACCCTGAACCCTAATACAAGGAGTGGGTGGGTGCGAAACCCTGAACCCTATAAAGGAGTGGGCGGATGCGACACCCCAAACTCTTTAAGCAATGGGTGGGTGCGAAACCCTGATCCCTACAAAGGGTGGGTGGATGCAAAACCCCAAACCCTAAAAGCAGTCGGTGGGTGCGAAACCCTGAACCCTAAACCAGAGCGAGTGGCTGCGAAACACCAAACCCACGTGACCGCGGGCCGCGCGGCCGCGGGCCGCCGGCCGCGCGTGAATAATTCTATTATGTTCTTGCCAAATCAAAAACATCATAGGCCTATATTTATTCGAATGTGTCTGCAAGGATTCAATCGCCTGAAGCAAGAAAGCTTGCACTTCCTCAAACAAAAAGCCAGAGTCACTTCCGCACGTAGAACATGTCATCGTAGTCGTGGTTCATGTAGATGCCGAAATCCTTGGACCCAGGAGAGGTAGTTGAGTTTCGACACACCTTGCGACAACCTCAGCCACCTGCTCGCTTGTTCCGGGACATACCGGAACCCATTGGCGTAACATCGAAGAAATGTTGGGACCTGGCTGCCACGCACGACGGAAAGACTTTCTGAGAACTTAAAAGCACAGAGTTCCTGCGTCACGACTATTTGTGCCAAGTCACGCGAACTGGAACTGAAATCGGCCGTGCAATTGCTGACGGACAACCTGCACACGACGGAGAGGCAGAGGCAAGCCTTGCAACGGCCACCAAACGTAGTGCAGCCTTCTCCATGAAGTCAATGTTCTTGTCCTTGTTTGCAACCCAACCTGTCCAAGGCTGCCAATCGGTAGCTCAGCTAGCAATCACAGCCGCGCACTGCCCCAGATCAGAGGCCCAACCGATACAGCAAATGCAAAACATGCTGCTTCCCGTTGGACAGGCGCAGCAAAATGCGTGCCTTCGAAGCCATCTTTGAAGACGTCCCTTCCGGAACACAGAAATCGTACTGAAGGCCGTATATCCAGCATCAAGCAATGTGAACATCAGCACTGTTCTGACCCCATACGGTGTCCCTGCAGAAGTGCATCACACACAAAGCCCCACTTCCTTGCCTTCTTCTCACCTCCTACCCGTCAGCTACTGATGCAGCTTTGCGGATGGCCTCGTCTCTTTTCGATGGATCATCGGCTTCATGCCTTTTGCAGCCGGCCTGCCATGCTTTCGGTTCGAGAAGATGGTTTGCTTTCCTTGACTTTCTCGCGAGTCGGTTGCATGCTTGGCAGCCGGGCTTGGCGTAGCGCGTGGGCTTCCTGACCTGCATCACAACCTGGCAAGATGCAACCACCCGTTAGCAGCATGTCACTGATAGGGCAGTCAATTGCGGCAGCAGGCTCGCGGAGTCTTGACATCATTTCGACCTTAGCTGTGGCACTATGCAACGACAGCTCCCACAGGCGCTTCAAATTCTGAAAGGGCGGAGAGGCCCGCGCCCCGGCGGCGTGCAGCCAGCGCAGCCAGGGCAGAGGCGGCGGCCAGCGCACCAAGGCCGTGGCCGGCAGAAAACTTAGCGACAGCATGGGGATGATGGGGAGGCGGAGGAGAAGAGGGTCAAGTGCTTGAGCTGCTTTCCGACTTACCGGCTCTCCAACTCAGAAAAGTATCAAACTATCGGAGCCACCACACAACATCCTCCAACCATCAAGTATCGAAGAGGGGTCAACAAACCTGGATTCACGTACTGAAACGAAAGATTCGCGCGCCAGCATTCGCACACTGCAGAAACAGATTTGCACGTGGGACGATTGGGAAGAACTGACTCGAAATTCGCGCCGGAGGTTTCTGCACAGAAGGCCACGGATTCCAGCACCGTGGGTTGGGGCATTGGGGCATTGAACATGCGGATTCGCGCACTTTCACGGTTTGAGAACAAGGAATTCACACACATCCGCATGCTGTACGGCTAGCAGGTCCGGTAGAGCCACAAAGCCGAAAGACAAAACATAATCTTATGAGGCATGTAAGTTTACCATGAAAGCCCTTTCAACTGAGCAGCAACATCATTGCAGACTTGAGCTGACTACTGTAAACGCTCACGAATCATCCGCGACCCGTATTCAGTCCAAAAAAACATCCCTGAAAACGGAAACCAGGAGCTTCAAGGGGCTGCCAGTTACATTGGGACAATTGTGTTGATAGTATGTGAGTGGCGAGCTCTGGAACTCCAATGGTCGAGTCGGGCCAGTGAGAGAACAGACGATCGAAAGTGCGGCTGATAGCAACTCACAACCGTCTGATTTACGCAGCAAGTGCCATTGGATGTGGGTGGTGAAACAGTCGGGGAGGAGCCAACCTTGGGTAAGTCTTCCAGATCTTATGATCCGGCACATGCCAGTCCGTCTGATGTAACTTTGATATTCCATGCCACCTCTGGCTAATCGTTCTTTCGAAGCTTGGGAAGACTGTTCTACCGTGCAAGCTATGTACACAACCGGCCTGCGGGGGCGAGTCTTCACTGCAATCTTCTGCAGACTAAACCCTGCTGTCGACTTTCTGCGGCTCCGCTCAGAACCAAGTTCCCTGCACCGGGCAGAAATTCGTGGCTGTGGCTGCTGACAGGCTCATGCAGAAGCACACGAACATCCTAAGTCTTTGAGAAATCCCAGAGGCGCCTTTGGCAATGCCAAGCGGGGCTCGGGAGCAGACTTTGAAGCCTGGGCGGGTGGCAGGGCTGTGGAGTGGCCAGCCAAGCATGTCAAGCATCTGGCGTGGAAATGAGCACATGAATACGAGTGATGCCGCAACTGAGACACTGCGGGCTCTTGGAGGGGCGGCTTGGTGATTTCGTCCACCTTCTTGCTCAGAGAGCCCAGTACAATGCACCACCACTCGCGAGCCAGAACAAACCACCGAGGAGCCTTGACGGCTGGCAGCGTTTCGTTCTGGCCAATCCTGCACGTTCAAGTTGAGAGGCAAATGAACAGCAGACCCCAGCCGTCAGCCACGGCTGGCGGCCGGTTGCGGCCCAGCACAGCCAGTCCTTGGTCCAGCACCCGCCGCCAGGGCCGGAAGTAGCTCTCCCCAGCTTCGCGAAATCAGCGTCCTCTCTGGCGCACCAATGGAGGCTCTGGGAGATCGATCTGACGTTGAGAGTTGTTAGCATGCTCTAGGATGGGGAGTGTCCTCGCCGACACGTTGCGCAGCAGTGCCATCGGAAGCAAGGCATTCCTGGGATGCAAGAAGTAATCAGGACAGCCCGAAGCTCAAATAGATACGTGACTTCACGTCACGGCTTCTTTGAAAGTAAAACGGCAGCAAGACCTTCTCTCCCAGAAAACTAAGCCGAAGGTCCGCTTGCACACGAAAGTGCCTCTGTCATTCCCCTCCCAGTCGTACCACTGCTGTTGTCTCTCTTCTGGCTTACAGTCCGGCTCGTGCTCACCTCAGCCAATGTGGCCACCAAGCGAAGGACGCGTGCATGTGCCAGGTCATGTCGCAAGCACGGTGCAGACCAAAGCAGGCTAAGAGGCGACCGGTACAGTTCTTGGCAAAATTCGAGAAATCGTCCTTGCGGACAGTTTAGACTCGGTCGGCATTCACTCGCTGGCGTCTTGATTCAGTCCTGAGTGTTGTCACTCCACTGAAAGTGTGTGTCTTGGTCCAGGTCGGTGTAGCCGATCCAGGTACTGAGCCCATTTGTCCTTGCAAAGGGAAGAACGAACATCGATCCCTCAAAGGCTACAGTGTTCTTGACTGGGAATACAAACTAGGACTCACGCAGCGTGTAGATAAATCGGTTCTCAGCCTTAGATGCAGAAGCACGATGAACACCCAAGAAGCCTCCTCTGCATCGGGGACGCAGAGCAGCAGCTCGTCATGACTCGCTGCACCAGATCGAACGACTCAAAGACGACACCAGGGAGCCCGAGAATGAATCGAGGCCAAGTGGGAGCCTTCTCCGAACTGTCGGCAAGCGGCTTCGGCCTGATGACGACAACTGCCAATGCATCCCAATTTCATCCTGCCGGACTTTTCTGACGCTGCGCATGCCTCGAACCAGGTTTTCTTCTCCCAGAAGTGCTTGTAGCCTGAGAATCGCCAACCGCAAGGCTTCGGGCCATGTCAGTCGTCTCAGGCGCACGTCTCGAAAAATGTTTTATGAGTCTGGGAGAACCGCAAGCTCCAGAGCCATTAGGCAGCTAAGACCGGTAAGACAGGCTGCAAAAGGCATCCCACTGCGACCATCCCGCATGACAGGCTCCAGGATGATAGACCTGCACCGTTGGTAGCAGTCCGTACCCCTTGTGTCGAGACGAAGCATGTTTTGAGAAGCTTCCACGGAACCCGCAACCGCCTGAGAGAGGTGATCAGCGCCGTAAGTTGCCGCAACTTGCGCATCATCCGAGGCACCGTTGCCACACCAATGGTGGAAGTCCTGTCAGAGATTCGACCCTTTGACGGAGGATGTTCGCCCTACAAGGCTTTGCCTAGCATCGTATCCCCTGATTCGCATTTGCAACATGCACGAACCAAGGCAGTCTCACATCGTCCTCTGCTCTTTTCAAACACGCAGCATCATTGCTACCAGCATTGACCTGTGCAACGCATCTGACAGCCCAGATAACTCCATGGTCGCAAGTACAAAGCTACACGCTGAAAATTGAGCCAGGCGCATGAGACTCCCCGAGGTCATCCCGGAATTGCCTCTGCTGGTACTCTGGGAAATTGCGACCTGGGCAAGCGGCAAAACCATGGGAATTCAGTTTTCACATCCAGAACAGTCACTCAGCTCACCACAGAGTTTCGCTGTGATCGTACACCCCGAAGGCGCGCCCTCCTGCACGAAATGAGAAGCTGTCGACATCACGTGACGACGTGTTAAGTGTTAAGATGCAGGAACCTCGACTGGTGCCTTTCCACCGGCAGGCGCAGCACCAAAGAGCAGCAGCACACGATACATCCTGAACCAAGTTGCGACATTAAAGCAACTGTTTCGAAAGCTTGTTATCAGTTATCAGAAGAAGCGAAGCATATGGCTCAGGGTTTAGGCAGACCCTTCTGAGCTCTGCACGTTCTCGGCTCTCGCGGCTCTCGGCCAGTTGCCGAGCACTGGTTTCCGCACTTGAATCGAAACGGCGGAAGCACTCAAGTGTTGGCAAAAATCTTCAAAAAACAGGACGAGCCCTGTGCCTGCAAGTATCACACAAAGCAGTTTAGCCCTGTCATCTTATCACTCAGGTCTTGACACCACTTGCTTCCTCGGGTGCATAAGGAACCTGTGGCTGCATTGACAGACGAGATATGGCACGATACCCACGAAGGAGATGCATTCACTTCAACAGCTTGGATTCTGACCACGGGCGACGCCGCATTTCCAAGTCGCTGCAGCTGGGACGGGCGCTGACTGCCCGGTGTCACCACGAAGGCAGTCGCATGACCTCAGGCTTCAGGGAATCGCGATGGTGGACCGGTGAAAAACTGCATGAGAACTGCTGTAGCTATGTAGCTTGACATGACATTTCGGCTCAAGGCACCGTGAGGCGATCATTTTCGGTGAGGCATGGAAGGCTGAGCCCAGCACGGGCAGTCACGAGACACAAAGCAGTCAAGCCGAGAGCCTGAAATGTCCGAGTACGAGTCTTGCCACTGCATGATGAACAATAATCTGTGCAGCCGATGTGCTACGATGTACTTGCACATGCTCAGGCCACGGCCAACAGAATCACATTCACCGATCTGTCCATGCTGGGCAGCATTGTCCCACCTGTGTCCGGAACAATGCAAATGGTGTTGTCGACTTGAATACCACAGCTCAGTCTGCCTGCACTGCGTCTGTGGCTCTGCCAAAGAGCCCGGGGGTCGGCAGACTTACCAACACCCCTTCGAACCGAAAGTGCGCAACACCAAAAGGTCAGACCAATGGAGCTGAGAGCACCCAGCTTTCAAACCGACACAGCACAAATACTTCGGAAGAAGCAGGCATCAAAGCATAAACAGAAGTAGCGTCAACGGCGATGAGTAGTCCCCAGTAGGCTCAAGCAACGTCAAGCGAAACCTTCTTTCCAGAAGCATGCCCTGCTGTCTCAACAGAATTTTTTACTCTCCGCAATCATCCTGTCGCTGCCTGAAGCACTTGACTGATAATCTCGGTGGCAAGTCAAGTGGGAAACTCAAGACGTGCGGGAGCCACGCTGTTGCAAAACATGCCACTGTGAAGAAAAACATTCATCGCTAGTTGGCAACAGTGCAACCAAGATGTTTCGACATAGCATAAAATACAGAGCTGACTACCCGTTGCTGTCGACGTTTCTCTCTCTTGTGAAGCGGGGTGTTCGCTCCACAATCGATCGTCTCCATGGGAGCTGATTCGAAATCGAAAGGGTGTTGAGCCTACAGCCTCGGACAAAAACGAAAGATCGACAGGGCTCAGGGGCGCGAGACGCAACGATCTTCCGCCCTTTAGCCTGAAAACTGTCTTCGCAATCGGAGCTCGGCGATTTTGGATTCTCTCGCAACCCTCACTCTCTCACTCGCTCTCTCCGCTCTCTCCGCTCACTTCGCTCCCTCCTTCACTCTGTTCGCTCCGTTCGCTCGCTCGCTCCTCTCACTCTCTCACGCCGCTCTCTTCGCTCACTCGCTCGCTCGCTCCTCTCACTCTCTCACTCCGGTCTCTTCGCTCAGTCGCTCGCTCCGCTCCCTCGTTCCCTCCGCTCGCTCCGTTCGCTCGTTCGCTCCGCTCGGGTCCACAATTGTCGAGCTGCGATTTGCTCGTCTTTTATGTTCGGGCTAAAAGGCCGAAGAACGTTGCGTCTTGCGCCCCTGAGCCCTGTCGATCTTTCGTTTTTGGTCCGAGGCTGTAGACTCAACACCTTTTCGCTTCGAATCAGCTGATTCTTGTTCCCAAAAACCGCGCAATCGAAATACAAATCAAAATATTAACATCCACCTGTAAGATTGGCAAGTAAAATGAATCATCAGGAGCATCAACACTCGCACTCAGGTCATCATTTTCCGGAGATAAACAAGTCAAGGAGATGAATTCACTATGTTGGCATGCCGCCATGCGGCAGTTCCCCACTGAGCCCACGCATGGGACATCACACACACTCTACACCGCCGAGCAAGAGAGGGTGGGCAAAAGACTTTTGGGTTTTCCACCTTCCACCTCAGCCACAAAGACTTCGTGGGAAACAGAGTGTGTGGCAACACGAGTGAAAGTTGTCTTATTTTTGTTCCTAAAAACCGCGCATGTCAATCGAAATACAAATCAAGATATTAACATCCAACCTCTAAGTTAAAGATTGGCATAAGTATAAAATGAATCGACGGGAAGTCAGTCAAATATCTTTGTATATGAATGTGGCATCATCGCACTCGAGTCATCTTTTTTCCGGAGATAAACAAGATGAATTCACTACGCCATGCGGCAATGCCCCATCTACACCGCCGAGCTGAAAGCCTCGTACGGTGGTCACCCTCTGATCCAATCCGTGCGAGGCACGCAATCAATGGAAATTCTCGCTCTCCATTCTTCTTTAGAGACTTCCCGTGAAGGAAATAAGCAGGAGGTGGTATTGACACTCGAACCAAGGAGCGATACGACCTTCCTCAAGATAAATGTGCGCGGCAACGACCAGCATCGTTCTCACTGCGGCCATTGATCATTGAGTGTAAGGCCTCTTGGTTGTCAGTAAAGACGATTAGATGGCAATGTCGAAGCAATCGTGTCCAGGCGAAAACGCCAGACTCAATGGCAAAGCACTCCAAATCAAACGGCTGGTCTTTTTCCAGACCCCAAGATGTTTTTTTCCGGGCTGCTCTTTTTTTCGACCCCGAAATATCTTTTTTCAGACTCCGCGCTTGGTCCATCTTGACTTCGCCCCGGCATGTCTTTTTTCCGACCTCCATCTTTTCTTCAGCCCCGCGACGAGGTCTAGAAAAAGATTACGATCTTTTTCTCGACCTCCACTCCACGATTTAAGCCGTCTTTTTCTCGGCCCCGAAATATCTCGTAACTGACCCCGATATTTTTCTGGGCCTCTAATGTCTTTTTTCTGACCTTTACAAAGATAGAAGCACGCACACGTGACATATCAAACAACACAGCAAAGAGCGCCACAATATGAATTTTGCAACGAAAACTGCACAAAACCTAACTTAACCATACTATAACTTCTCACACACACACAAAGAAGAAACACAAAATCGCTATCCAAAAAACGTTTTCCAACACGACGGAAGGAGAAGCCACACGATATCGCTTTAGTGGGCAATAGCAAAGAAAATAAGAATGAAAAATAAAAGTGAGAACACACACACGGCAAAGGATGGCCGGCATCCACCCCTCGGGTGCAACGACATGGTGGCGGGGGCCTGCCTGCCCACATCGATGAGTCCGCCTCAGCAAAGCGCGCTTAAGCCGAGTAACCCCAGGTGACGCATGCTCTAGAAACACAGACGCAACGACGTATGTCGTCGGTTACAACCGGCTGAATGGCTTACTGTCAACCAGAGGGGCCAGCCACCGCCTGCGCGGCCAGCTATCGAGTTGGCGCTGCATGTCACGGCTTCTGTTCGACTGGGTTCCTGGGTCTCGCAAGAGCAAACAGAGAAGGAGTTCCAAGTTGAAAGAAGGCCTAGTGCGCGAGTTAGGCCAACCCAAGGTCCACGGCTGTGTACCATCCACTGCATCATGCATGACCGACGCACGCAGCAAGTCAGTGCCCTCGAAAAGTCCAACGACCGCTCGACAGGTATGGCGGGAGACTGCGGCGAGCGTCATCAATGCCGAGATCAACTTGGATAATAGTGGCGCCGACTTGGAAGCCAAGCCGAACCCATAGTTGGAGTCTGCGCTCTATTTGCCAACACACAACTGGAAAGGCTCCCACTGACCCGGCCTTCTGGATGTTCTGATCGTCCAATGCAGATACTTTCAAAACAAGCGAACGACGTGTTCAAACCTGCAAACCTGCCTTGTTCGAAAGAAACTTTTTGCTAATCTCTGTGAGGGAAGCTGGGCACTGACATCCCAGGAAACAGCGGCCTGTTTGTGACGGGCTGCTCTGCGACACTGGCTCTCTGAATGAGTGATTCGCCCTTGCAAGACCCATTAAAGGGAAGCTGGGCACAGGCAACTCAGCTTTTGCTCTTGTGTTGCGAACTGCCACCTTCTTGACAATTTTGATGATGGTGGCCATTGCGCGACCCATGTCTTACGGGGAGCAGGGAGTGATCCGAGGGCCAGTGTGTATATCAGAGCTGAACGATTTCGCCGACCAAGTCTGTATGTCGCAGCTCCTGTTTCACCTAGCATTTTTGTACAACTTTTTCATTTCTTGTTGGTTGCTCTCTTTCTTACAGGGACCGAGTGCTGCGTGTAGTCGACGAGGCCTGCAGACGCCAAAAAAAACCATTTTCGGGGCTGAAAAGCGAACAAAAGAAATCTAAGTGTGTCATAAAATGTTTTCCAACACGAAGGAAGGAGAACACACGATATGGCCACAGAGGGCTAAAGCAAAGTAAATAAGAATGACAAAGATTTTCAACCAATGCCGTCAGCTGCTGCCAAGACTGGCCGTTTTGCGCTGTCGTGAGCCCACAGCACTCAATTGCTGCCGCGTAGCGACATTCGGCGGAGCGCAGTAGAACAGCGAGGGGTTGAACAGAGACATAGGTGGCGACACGTAAGAGAGTGTTCTCTGAAAAATCCGCCATGGCCAGGTATCTTGTGGAGGGGCAAGCACATATGGCGAGCCCAGCTTGCACAGTTGAAAAGATGTCGAGCGTGTAGTGGAGTCACATGGCGGAGCTAAGTCCGACGCAGGCGCAGGGCTCCAGCAGGCGGGCACGATCGCTGCCACTCGCAGATTCACCTTTTTGCACCAATGATGCCAGCAGCTGCATAGTCTGCGTCTCAAGTCGCGGAGCTGGGCCGTGCCGGTTATCCCGCCGCCCGGGATGGTAATCGTAGTACCTATCTTCCCTGATCCAGACACTGTACGAACTGGCCCCGCAGAGCTGTCCTCGATTACCCTGCATTCGAGGCCCTATCGCGCCCAGCTTCCCGCTTCCCAGTCGGGTCTCGCAAGGGCACTGAACGTGTGTTAAGGCCGCAGGCAAAAACCTGGAGAAAGTGAAACCCCAAAACGGGGAGCACGGACTTGCCTTGTGGGAGCACAACCACGAAAGGTGGTGGGGCTGAGCAGTGCATCCCAGCCAGCAGTTTTCCTCGACTGCAACGAAGGGTGTGAAAAGTTGTACCTCTGAGCTGTCTGTTGAGTGGTGGAGCCGCTCAGTGTGATGGGCTGCGATATGTATATCATCAGGCTGCTGACTGCAGTTTGGGAGCAAGCCAATTTTCCTGCGATTCCTGGAATTTTCTGAGGTGCAATGCTCTCTCTGGGGAGGGTGTTCCAGCTCTCCACTCTGTAGCAGCTACGAGGCTGGTTTCGAGACATAGGGTAGAATTCGGCACTTGAGGGCCTGTCGATTTTGAGGGCTGGAGGCCGTAGGGCTCGCAATCTTAGGGGCTCTAAAGTGCTTGCAAAACGGGCGCGCGCGGCATGGAAGGCGCTTTGAGGGCGCGCGGAGGGCTCGCGAGCTGTTTGGAGGCGCGCCGTCGTGCTCCGGAGCTGTTTCGGGAGCGACGCGCGCTTACGCGCGCTATGTTCGGCGCGGAGGGCGTGGAAGCAGCTCGAAAGTCGCTCGTAGGCGGCTGGTGAGCGCTCGAAGCAAGCAGCTCGTAAGTTGCTCGTAGGCGGCTGGCGAGTGCTTGTAAGTTGCAAGCAAGCAGCTCGTAAGTTGCTCGTAGGCGGCTGGTGAGCGCTCGTGCGTTGCAAGCAAGCAGCTCGTGAGTTGCAAGCAAGCAGCTCGTAAGTTGCAAGCAAGCAGCTCGTGAGTTGCAAGCAAGCAGCTCGTAAGTTGCAAGCAAGCAGCTCGTGAGTTGCAAGCAAGCAGCTCGTGAGTTGCAAGCAAGCAGCTCGTAAGTTGCAAGCAAGCAGCTCGTGAGTTGCAAGCAAGCAGCTCGTGAGTTGCAAGCAAGCAGCTCGTGAGTTGCAAGCAAGTAGCTCGCGAGCTGCCGGCAAAGCTGCTGGCGAGTGCTCGTAAGTCGCCAGCAAGAAGCTCGTAAGCTGCCGGCGAGCACTCGTCAGCTGCTGGCAAGAGGCGCGCTCTTAAAGTTCCTCTAAAGCCCGTTTTGCAAAGACTTTAGAGCCCCTGAGATCGTCAGAGCTGCGGGCCGTAGCCCCGCGAATCGACAGTGCTCGAAGTACCGAATTCTGACCCATGTCTCGAACTGAGGCTTGTAGCTATCACAGAGTGGAGTGCTGGAACACCCTCCCTAGAGAGAGCAAAAGTCGCTGTTCTCTGCCTCTTACCAACAAGCTTTCCGAAATGACAGGAATGACAAGAATGACAAGCTCCAGGCGGCCAGAGAAAATTAATTAATTAATTAATTAATTAATTAATTAATTCGGGAAGTGCCTTACTTCTTCGAACTTCACTTTCGGAATTACTTAATTAATTATTTATTTATTTTTCTCGGGGCGCCTGGAGCTTGTCATTCTTGTCATTCCTGTCATTTCGAGAAGTTACACGGTAAGCCCCGCGACTGGCGCCAGGCTCGCGCACTTGCATGTCACGCAGGCAGCGGAAAGCCCGCAACTGGCCCGCAACTGGGTCACAATGTCACGCAGGCAGCGGAAAGCCCGCTTCTCTCAGCGCCTGCCGGTGCTGCTCACTTGCCCGAGCATAGGCTTGCGGAACATAAGCTGCGAGTGCCCACATGCTGCCCTCGTGTGGCTCCACCTTGTGATAGCGGCGAGCATCGAAGCTCACCGGCTTGTCGTGCATGTCCAGCCACCTGCCCCGCAGCTCCCGGCCGCCCTTCTTGTCGGCCAGCCACGCCGTCGAGTCCCCCTCGTCATCTTCGATCCACACCCGTCCTCCTGTGTAGTCTCCCAGAGCAAGTGCGTGATTCGAGTGCCCTGGCATGTTCTGAATGTCGCGGTGCAAGCCCATGCGCGGGTTGAAGAGCACGGCGATGGAGGTCCAGGTGCCGTTCGGAAAGCGGCTCTTGAGAAAGCAATTCACAGCGGCACAGGCCTCCCGCAGGCCGGTGGCATTGGAGACCCCGACCACCCCGCCGTGGCCGAAAAGCCCCAACGTGCATACCGCTCATAGGCCCCCGGCCCCACCGCCCGGGTGCGGCCCCGGTGCTTCCAGTCCGCCGACCACAGATCCAGCAGTCGCACGAGATTGGCTTCGCTGGGCTCCTCCGCGGCGTGCCGGCACGCCGCTTCCATGGTTTTTTTTTATAGCAAAACACATTTTTTTCAACACAGGGCTCAACATCGGTCCCACCTGAGTTCACGGTTTTCATACTCAGGCGCAGCGATTTCGACATTGCCGGCATTCATCACTCCAAACACGCATGGCCCTAAAACACCATGCCGCACCCCAATTTTTCGGGATTTTGAAGCCGCTCGGGGAGGGTGCGCCCCGACGGCCCCCGGCGGCCGGCCGTTTTGCGAGCCGACCACGCGCCGGCGAGAGCCCGATTTCGGTGTGTCCACCGCCTAGGGTTTGAGCACGATTTCGGCCAGATCGGCCCTTCCCTGTCAGATCGGTGCCGGCCAGCCCCGCAAAATGGTCGGGAAGGGTTTAGGATGGGTCGACCACAGCCACACGGAATCGCCGGCATCACAGGCCTGCCGCGGCCCCGACTTTCAACACAACCCCCGGTTGTGCCCTTGGCCGAGCCGCTTCGCACCAAACTGTGGCGAGGGGCGTGATTTCGGTACGTCCGTAAAAGTTTCGAAGGGTTGCTGCTGGGTTCTGAAGGGTTCTAGTTGCCTCGCCCCCCCCATGCCTGTGCCTCTGTCTGCGGCTTCAGCTGTCTTGGTGTTGTTGCCGAGCTCTTTCGCTTGCTTTCCTTGAGTTGCATAGATCAGCCGAAGCCAGGATGCTTCTCAAGCAGCTTTGGCTGTTGCTAGACAGTTCGTTATTCAGAATTTTTGGCTTGTGCTGTGCTGGTGCGCAGTGCTCTGGCTGAAACATGGCGAAACGTGGTGGAAAAGTTGGCACGGTATTACTGCTCGCGGGCTCAAAGGCTCTGGTCTGGCTGGTCTCGCTGGGCTTTCGCGTTGACAGTGGCTAACGGGGTGCCCTGAAACGCCTCCATTTTGGAGTAACTTATCTGATGGCTTGCTTTCTTGTGCCTGCTCGTGCCAGCTAGTTCATTGAAATCCGAAGCCTTAAGAACAGCAATTGCTTCTGTAATCTTGGCTACTTGTTTGCCACAACATGCAGTAGGGCTTCGCGGCTTGTGGTTGGGCCGGGGAAGGTGAAAACAAAAGTTCAAAAAGTGTTTTTTTGATAGGGCTGCCGACCAACAGCAGCCGTGCTTGCAGCAGCGCTTGCAACTCCGCCATTGCAGTTTGCATTCGCACATACCTGCTTGGATTTTTGGAATGAATGCTTGATTGATGATTGATTGCTTTGTTTGCGCATCACCTGCGCCATCTTCTGAAGGGGTTAGGCCAGGCATGGGCTTGCTTACTGTGGTGTGAGTGGTGCCAAGACCGACAACCTGAGATGCTGTTAGGCTTCATGGTCCAGGACCTATGGCATGGAGGCGAACCGCGCATTTTTGTTGTTGCTCGCACGTGTATTTGGACGTGGAATGGTTGCGTTTACTTCGACAGCGCCGTTTTTTGCTGCAGAGGTTTGGTTCAAATTCAGGAATGTGTTGCGGAAATGGCAGAAGAAGGCAAAAAACGTCCCGCTGGCGCCGGAGCAGAGGACCGCGCCATTGAGCGTTTCTCCGTCGAACTGCTTTCAACCTTTCCTTGTGCAGGAGCCGCTTCAGCCGCCTCGGAAGGCTCCTAGAGGTGAAAACGAGGCCTGGCCAGTGCGTGCAAAGGTTGCGTGTTTACAGGTTGATTGCAGGGCGTGCTAGCGTGTTCAATTTGAGAGTAAGCGGTTGCTTTTGCATAGATCGGAATCCACTTAGAAGGCCACGTTTAGGGAGCTTGTGTTCTTGCTGGCTTGGGCTTGGTAGCTCTGCCTGGCTCCTTCAGGCCAAAGCAAGCTTGGATCAGGCGGGCTGTCCGTGAAGCCTCGCGGACTGGAGCATTGTGTAGGCTGTGCCCATTGGCGCAGGTTGAGTGGCTGCAAAAGACAGCTGAGGAGATCCGGCAGTTTGGAGTGGATAAGGCGCTTCGCGATGTCTCTTGCTTGAGCTTCGGGTCTGCGAGCATGGATGGCAGGTCAGTTCTTGGGTCCGGGCGGCCTTGGAAGAGGAGGGCGACAGCGAAGACGCGCCGGAGATCGCTGACACTCTTCAAGTGCAGAAAGTCAGAGGCAGAGCATTACTAGACCTGACCTACCAGCAGCTAGTGGACAAGCCCTACAACATTGCTGCGGGCCCTGCCGGAAACCTGGCCAAGCGTATCGCTGCTGTGTCTGCCCCGGCGACGGCCGCAAGCGGATTCCAGGTGGGGGCCTCAGCGGACTGGAAGGGTGCCTTGGCGTCACTGTGGAAGTTCGTGAGGACGACCCAGATGCCACGGAGTTCATCCAGGAGCTGGCCGAGGCTGAGCCGCAGGACTTGGGTGCAGGCCGCTTCGGGGGCTTGGGGTTGCTGATCTCTTTTGTCTGCGCCGCTGTTGCAGGTGTGCAGGTCTTCAACCTCACGAAGTCCCTGCCCGTAGAGCCCTACGACCAGAGTGGGCCGAAATTATTGACGCGCAACACGACGCGCCAGGCCTGGAAGGCGACCTTCGAGCTCATGAAGGGTGGCACAAAGCGCGTGGCCATGTTGGGCGTCCCGGGCATCGGGAAGAGCCGCAATTTGGCGCTGGGCCTCTGGCACCTGGTGCAGCATCCCCACAAGCTGCCAGACGGGATTCCGCCGCCCGAGGCCATCGTGTATGAAGCTCGGGAGGGTGGGGCGGTCTTCCTTTTCACCAAGGGCCAGGATCGCAAGTGGAAGGCGCAGCGCCTTGCGATGAGTGAATGGGCGGCTGACGCCTGCCTGTACCTGAAGGACTCCAGCAACTGGTACCTGGTGGATGCTTCCGAGAGAACCACCACCTTGAAGTTGCCTGCCAAGACCGTGCTCGCCTGCAGCCCGGATCGGCACCACTATTCGAATTTCGTCAAAGACGGGGGCCAGTGCGTCTTCGTAGAAGCTTTCTCGTGGGCCGAGGTGAAAGCGTGCCATTCACAGCTCGAGACTCAAGTTGACGAGGAGGAAATGTGCCGAAGGTTCAAGCAAGTCGGAGGTGCTCTGCGCACCCTTCTGGCTGACAAGGGGATCTACGACGACGCCGTCGAGCTGCAGAGGTCCGAGGCAGAGGACTTCACGACCGTGAGACGTGCCTTTGAGGGTGATTTGAATACCTTTGAAGGGAAGCAGATGCCGACCAGGCTCTTCACGTACCGCAGCGTCGATGGAATCTCACGCAAAGTCACCGTCTGCTCTCCCGGTGCTGCCGCACTGCTTGTCGAGAAGCACCATGACAAGCTCGTGCCGCTTTGGAGCGATGCACGCAACCCAACATCGAGGTATTGGCTCGAGGAATTTGTAGGCCCGCTGTTGACAACCTTTTGGCCGGGCAAAAAAGGCCTGACAGCCTTTCAAGTCACCAACACTGCACCTGCAGCTGCGAGAAAGGCTCAATGGCAGCGCGAACAGGTCAAAGACTTCGAGGTAAAGAAGGGTTTGCAGCTCCTTGAGTGTGACACGGAGAAAATCTTCGATGGCAGATGGCGGAAGGCGGTGAAGAAAGGCAGTCTGGAGGGACTTCTGCACAGCCCAGAATGTTACCCGGGCATCGACTACCTGCTTGACTTCAACCACGGCATCTCCGTGACCTCCTCCGCCTCGCATAGCATTGCACCGGAATTTCGTACAAAGTTGGAGCAGATGTTCGAAAGCCACAGTAGCACTGAAGAAAACCGCAGTTTCACTCTCACGTTTCTCATTACAGGAGAGCCTCAAGAATTCGCACCGAAGGGAGATGATTTCAACGCACTAATGGGAATGGCGGGGGAAGGAAAGTCGTTTGACAATGTTTGTGTACAGGTCGTGCGGATTCCGAAGACGCTCCATAGCCTGAGTTGAAAACTATATGCTGCCGAGAGATCTTGGGTGTGTCTGCAGCGCTTGCGGTGACTTCTTTCGTCTCGCTTCTTTGCTTCCTGAAGCTGTCAGGTGGCGGCTCGTCTCCACCCATGGCCGAAGCTTGGTGTGAAGCCCAGGCACAGCAGGGTGTGGTTGTCAGTTGGGGCTTTGCTGAAGTCACTTCAAGGAGCCTCTGAATGGTTGCTGTCCGCCAGCTGCGAAACCCTCATGCCTTTTCAGGTTTGCTGAAAAGTGCAAAAACCAGGAATTTGTGTGAGGTTGGTGAAGCTTTGTGGAGATCATTCATTCAGACCCCGGCAAAGCCCTGAGAATCGCGACGCATCTGAGGAATGAGCGGGAGCGCGGATTAGGTTTTGATGCAGCTGATGCTCAGGACGCTCATCTGTCCCGCTTGAAGCTCAAATGGAGGGTGGGAGTGCGGGCAGCTGATGCTCATCAAACGCTCATGATTCGCCAGCAGTGTCCATGCTTTCAAGGGTGTGCCGCAAGTTCCAAGTCTGCTTTCGGGGGGAAACAGGATGCGCTTGTATGCGTTCGTGCTGCATGAGATCGCGAACAAGGGCAAGACCTCGTAGAAAACTGTAGTCACTATAGACTTGATGCTGCCTAGGGAGCGGATCGGCCATTTTTCCGAAAACTCTGGCTAGCAGGGGCTTAGGGTTCTGCGCGCCGTGATGGCGACCAGGGGCTCTACCCCGAAGAGCCAATTGAAAAATTGTTTAATTGTATTTTTTTTGCTGGGGGCCCGGGAGGCTTGTCATTCTTGTCATTCCTGTCAGGACTTCTCCGAAACTCCAAACCCCCGACAATTCTGCCCGTTTCTGCGCCAATGACAGGAATGGCAGGAATGACAAGAATGACAGGAATGACAAGAATGACAAGCCCCAGACCGGCCCGAAAATAAAAAATAAATAATTAAATAATTACCCTGACGGGGCTATTGACAGCCTTGGGTCTGTACCCGGAGGAGCTAGTTAATTAATTATTTAAGTTTTATTTTCGGGCCAGGCCGGAGCTTGTCATTTTTGTCATTCCTGTCATTCGGCTTGGCGGCTCAAAAAACGTACACAAAACCACCATTTCCTGCCCGCCCGGGCAATGACAGGAATGACAAGAATGACAAGCCCCAGACCGGCCCGAAAATAAAAACTAAATAATTAATTAATTACCCTGACGGGGCTATTGACAGCCTTGGGTCTGTACCCGGAGGAGCTAATTAATTAATTATTTGGTTTTTATTTTCGGGCCGGTCTGGAGCTCGTCATTTTTGTCATTTTTGTCATTCCTTCGGTCTCTGCCCGGACGAGCTAATTAATTAATTATTTATTATTTTCGGGGGCCAGCCTGAAGCTTGTCATTTTTGTCATTTTTGTCATTCCTTCGGTCTATACCCGGAGGAGCTAGTTAATTAATTATTTAATTTTTATTTTCGGGCCAGGCCGGAGCTTGTCATTGTTGTCATTCCTGTCATTCGGCTTGGCGGCTCAAAAAACGTACACAAAACCACCATTCCCTGCCCGCCCGGGCAATGACAGGAATGACAAGAATGACAAGCCCCAGACCGGCCCGAAAATAAAAATTAAATAACTAATTAATTACCCTGACGGGGCTATTGACAGCCTTGGGTGGGTCTGTACCCGGAGGAGCTAATTAATTAATTATTTATTTTTTATTTTCGGGCCGGCCGGGGGCTTGTCATTTTTGTCATTCCTTCGCCCTGTACCCGGAGGAGCTAATTAATTAATTATTTATTTTTCATTTTCGGGCCGGCCCAGCGCTTGTCATTTTTGTCATTCCTTGGCCCTGTACCCGGAAGAGCTAGTTAATTATTTGTATTTTCGGACCACCCCCCGGAGCTTGTCATTTTTGTCATTCTGGTCGCTGTCCGGGGCTGCCACGGCGTTTTTTTTTTGCGTTTTTGCTGGCTCGTCTGAGTACAGGCCGAAGGAATGACAAAAATGACAAAAATGACAAGCCCCAGGCCGGCTCGAAAATAAAAAATAAATAATTAGTTAATTAGCTCCTCCGGGTAGAGGGCGAAGGAATGACAAAAATGACAAAAATGACAAGGTCCAGGCTGGCCCGAAAATAAAAAATAAATAAATAATTAATTAGCTCCTCCGGGTAGAGGCCGAAGGCGTCACGGTGCCGTGGGCCCGGGATTAAAATCGCGGAGTTGTCTGAATGCCAGTGGCACCGGTCGCCTCGTCAGCCGAGCCACGGGCTCCCCGGAGCCGCGGGGCGCCGGGAGCGCATGCTTCAGCAGAGTCTCCGAGCCATCCGTGGCTCGCACCGTCATGGAGTCGTAACTCGAAACTTCCCGCACCGCCCCGTACTGGGGCTGGAATGACCTCTGGGCATTGGTGGGGGCCCGGAACGCCCCTGCCTCCTCGATCCGGCGCTGACGGCTCCTCGTCAGTTCGTCGTTGTGCTTGAACTTTTGGGCATTGTCCTGATAGACCCTGAAAGTCGCGGCCGGCATCGTCTCGACATCTTCCGGGGCCACATGCACCGCCGCATGTGGCCGGGCGTTGAAGGCCTCCGTGACGTTTTCCACGTGCTGCCCCCACCCGCCGCCCTCCCGGGCCACCTTCCCCGCCAGATCCTTCTTCAGTGTTTGGATGGCTCGATCCACCACCGCGGTCGCATTGCGATCCGTCGGGTCCTTCTGCCGGTGCACTGCGCCTCCGGGCAGCGCCGCCTCCAAACCCCGAAACTCGTTCCCCATGTCGGTTGTGACCACGACGTTGGTTTCGTCCTGGACCAGGTCCGGGATGATCTCGGCCGCCGCTCGGGTCACCGTCTCGGCCCGCTTGTCGGGCAGGGCCTTCGTGGCCACCTCCCGGGTGAACACATCCGTGACCACCAGCCCGTACTTGTTCGCTCCCCGAGTGTTCTGGGAGAAATCCACCAGGTCCGCTTGCAAGCGGTCGTTCGGCCCCTCCGCCGCACTCTTCCCGAGACTCCGCGGCTTCGGTGCGAGCACCTGCCGCGCCACGTCGCTGCGCAATGCCGCCTGGGCCCGCGCACTCGTGAGGTCCCGCCGCTCCGGAAACTCCCGCCGAGCTATCTGGTAGAGCTTCCTGGGGTCCCGCACGTTGAAGTCCCGGGCCAGCCGCCCGAGCAGCTCCATCGCCCCGTCCTCCGCCATTTCTTAGTCCGAGTCGCCCTTGCGGCCCTTCTTCTTCTCCAGTTTCTCGATCCGCTTCTGCAGCCTCTTGCACGTCTGCCACAGCACCGCCGTCATCCGCTGGTAGTCCAGCGTCATGACCTCCCAATCGTCGAAGGTCCTGAGCTTGCAGAAGCTCTTGCCCAGCCGGCCCGACGCGCCCACCTCCTGGGCCACGAAGCCCACCTGGTCGGCGGCGCCGTCGATGCGGTCGTAGCTCCGGGCCTCCACGCCGTCGAAGAGCTCCTGCGCCTCGTCGTCCGACACCGGCCGGACGTTCGTCTTGAGCCTCTCGTCCGAGAGGTTCTGGAATCCATAAAAACAAATGACCTCGCCGTTGTTGGACCCCCCGGTGTTCGGCTCGATGACCAGGTTCGCCGTGCCCCCGGTGGTGTTCAGCGCGATGGTCTGGTCCGACGCGTTGAGCTGCACGCCGCCGTTGGCCAGCGTTACCAGCTCGCCCTTGCCTCCGCTGATCGAGTCGTTCTGGGTGGTCAGGTAGAGCCGCGCCACGCCCGTCGGGGCCTGGTTGATGACCGCCAGCTCGCAGAAGCCGCCCGGGCCCCGAGGCCCGTCACCTCGGCGTAGGCCGAGTTCACCGCACCCCCGCTGCCGCCGGAGAGGTAGAGGTACGGCAGGCTGGGCTCGGGCGCGATGGCGCCCTGGCTGCCGCCCTCGATGGAGAGCCAGGGCGCCGCCGGATCGCAGCGCACCAGCGGGGCTTCCACGCGCAGGTTGCTCACGACCTCCAAGTTGGTGACGCTGCTGTTCGAGTTGAAGGTGCCCGTGACGGCGGTGCTGCCCACGAGCAATTGTGTGATATCCGCCGTCGTCGCATTTAGGGTGCTGGCTGCCGCCACGGTGACGTCCCGGTCCATGCTGATGCCGCCGTCGGCGAAGGAGGTCAGCAGCGCCCCGTCCTTTTTTGGGATCGTAACCAGGGCGTTCTGGATCTGCAGGTCGCCCGCCCCGCTCCGGAGCTCGGGCGTGTCCACGAAGCTCGCGGCCGTGAGGCTGTTGACCGTGAGGTCGGTGGGAGCAATCCCGCCGCTGTTTTTCAGGGTGGTGACGCGGTTGTCGATGGAGGTGACCTGGGAGCCGAAGCTGTTGAAGGTCGCCAGAGGGGACTGCTTGTCCGACTGGCTTTGTGACCAGCAGTCTGCTTCCATGTCGATCACGCTGCCGTTTTCCAGGATTTGCGCTCCTGTGAGGGGCGACCTGAAAAGCAGGCTCCGGATTGTGTGGGGTGTGAATTTCTTTTGCACGAGGTGGAACAGGCCGTTGCCCTCCACCACGGAGGGATTGTTGGGGAAGTAGCGAGCATCCAGCCTTGCGGTGCCTGCCAGCTGAAAGCGCGAATCCGCCTGTGCCTTCGTGTAGGCCAGTGTAGGCGTCGCAGGTGAGCCCCAGTGACTCCAGTGTCGTGTCCGAGAATAAGAGGTGTTGGCATCAGGGGACCCCGGGGCAGGAGGGCCTTGATTTGAGGGGGCGTGATGTTGGTCCGCACCAGGAACTCGAAGCTTCCGTTGGCGCTCACCGCGAAGTAGCGGGTGTCGGCCAGCCTGGGTCAGGAAGCCGGAGCCGGCAAGCGCATCGTCGATCTCGCTCTGTGTGCGCCCTTGACGTCCAGTACTGCGTGAGGGTGGCTGTGAGCGGAGTCCAGCTGCGTGCGGGGATAGTGGGCCACGTATGCCTGTAAGCACCAGGGCGGTGCTGATCAGGGCCAGCACGTCCGCCTCGTTCTGGAACTGGGAGAGGTCCAGGGCGTCGATGGCGGCCGCGATTGTAGTTCCGGTTTCGAGCTGCGTGA